GTATATATATATGTCAATAACAGACTGATCAATTGCAGTCTTAAACCTCAATGGGAAGGTACAATAACAAGTGAACGAATAAAAATAAATTGAGAAACTTTGTTAACTATTACATGGATTTCTTAACCAAATCATTCTTATTATTTATTATTTATTTAAACACATAGATATTGGTACAAGGATGCACCAAATACATGTGCGCCACACAAATTTTCATTTTATTTGTGTGAGGGCTATGATACTGACCGGGTGCCCAAACCGAAGCAGGTGGTTTTCTTAGGGGGCCACACTCCGAGCCTTCGACCTACAGGTCTGATCCACAAGGCAGTGGAGCATCGTAAGGAGATTCAGTCCCATTGAAGCCGATGACCAACGGTTGGTTCATACGCCATTTGTTCTCGCAGGATACTGGAGCCCATATGCACCTTTTGTTTGGGATCCGGTTAAAGCTCCGAATATTCGTTTTTCGTTCTCTCATTTTCGTGAACAACACTCCCGCCACGAGAAAGCAGTGAGTAGGACTTCCCTGGCAGAAAATTAAATAGGTTTAGTTGTAAAGTTGAATGATATTTCTTTGAAATCGTTTACCCATTAAATTTATGGATTAAATTCTAATTGTTAACGGGACATAGATTGGATTTAAGCATGCTCCATGCACTATTGCGTTGATACGGGTTAATTGGCTAATTCTTATCTAATCAGCGCTAGTCGATACTTGAACAAGACTCTAGAATCTTCTCATATAAAAACTATAAATATACTAACGTTTTTCTTAATGTGCTTCTTATTTTCATCTAACCATGTTATTTGGATTATAATTTCATTCCTGTTCAACCGTGTTTTGAATCAGGGACATGTCGAGTAAATCGGTGTTCAAGACTACTAAGCAATAGGAATAGTTGGGTTGTAATAAGAGAGAATTATAACACTAATTTACTCAGATTTTCACAATTGAATTTTAATAGAATTTCATGAACAGAACAAGAAATTGTACGAAATGAATGTTGAACAAACAATAAAAATGATGTGTAAGAAGTGAAGCACTCTGTGTTTCAGTGTGAACAGAAGACACAAATAGAAGTAACGACAATATTGAATGAAATGTGTCGACAGAAAAAAAGAATAAAAGATCGAAGGTCCAGAGTTCGGTTCCCTGTTATGGGATTGTTGATACGCACTCCTGATGAATCTCATAATAGAACGAAACGGTTGTCCATTACTTTTTAATGGTCGTCTAAATTATATCGGTTCTTGATCTTAATAAGTAAAAAATGAGAATTTGATCAGCCAACACCTTTGCTGTACAGTTTCCAAGATGGTAACATTTTAAACACTTTTGAATAGTTATATAAATATTGATAACATCTACTCAACACTAAACGGGTGAATTATCATTTGCTAGAATACAATCGCTGATTCATCAAGCTTTCATCCAAGGGATCGAAACTTTAAGTGTGCATCAGATAGTGAACTACAGAAACTGTGATATTCAAAAAATCAAACAATTGCAGAAACTATCGAGAGAAAAAAAATGGGCAGTTGGCGAAATATTTACTGAACACTGGTCATTACGAACAGACACTACTAACTGCAGAAAAGCAGAATACACTCACTAGACCAAAAAATTGTTTCACTTTGGCTCATAACACCTAACATAGTCTCCGGTATACACTACTACAAACACATAGAATGGGGAATCAATTAACACGGTCTCGTTTTTTCAATGATTCTTCAGTTCATATGAATCAATGAAGTAAACAATTATATCACACAGATTTATAATGCTTATATATATTCTGGTTAGCGTTTTTTTTAGCGAGCAGCATATTTACAACTGAAGAACATCTGGAACTTAAAACAATTGTCAACCAACACCACCGCCAAAATTTTTAATACAAATGTCAAAACAGTTCTGCTGTATGAGGCGGAAACTTGGAGAACTACAAAGCCATCATCCAGAAGATATAAGTGTTTATTAGCAACTGTCTACGCAAATTACTTCGGATCCGTTAGCCAGGCACTACTAGTAACAACCTACTGCGGAAGAGAACAAATCGAATTTCAGCAGAGGAAGAAATCACGAAGAAGCGCTGGAATTGGATAGGACATATATTGAGGAAAGCACCCAATTATATCACAAGGCAATCGCTCACATGGAATCCTCAAGGCCTAAGGAAAACAGGAACATTAAAGAACACGTTAAGTCGAGAAATAAAAAGACATGAAAAAAATGAACAACAATTGGATAGAACTAGAAAGGAAGGCGTAGGACAGAGTGGGTTGGAGAATGTTGGTCGGTGGTCTATGCTCCATTGAGAGTAACAGGCGTAGGTAAGTAAGTAAGTAAGTAATCTTAAAGAAGTATTACTAATTTTTGTAATTAATAGTTAGAATGGTTGAACAGTTTGCAGAAAACGACTTAGCATGACAGAATATCATAACCAAGTAATATGGGTTATTTATGGAGGACCAGTGTAGCAACAGCCTCAGCAGCAATAGGTCTCAATATATACAAATGGAAAAGCAAGATTCTCAGATACAACGCAGAATGCCCCCCCCCTCACATGAAGTCCTCAAGGTCGAAGGAGGAGAGGAAGACCAAAGAACATATTACGCTGGGAAATGGAGATAGACATGAGAAAAATGAACAAGAATTGGATGAAACTAGAAAAGAAGTCCTAGGACAGAGTGGGTTGGAGAATGTTGGTCGGCGACCTATGCTCCATTAGGAATAACAGGCATAAGTAAGTAAATATATATATAAAGGTATTGAAATTTATTGTTCTGGAACTTGTCTTGATAATTTTATCGCACTGTGCTACTGTGGTATACCAACTTGAACCGATGCACATATATGTCAGGTTCCAAGTTGTTCATGACTGACTGATTGACTTTCCGAGAAATCTTAAATATGTTTCTATGCGAGGAATAACGATGAAATGGAATGAATGAATGAATGAATGAATGAATGAATATATACGTATAAATCTATCCAAAAAAAAAAGTGAAAAGTTCATAATCAAGGTCAAACAAGCAAATAATTGTATTATACTATCACTGTATTATACTACAAAAAAAAAAGCATACGCCCATAAATCCCTCTGTATACAAACAAACAAACAAACATACATACATACATACACACACACACACTATAACCATTATTTATACATATACTACTACTATAATATAAGGGAAATAAGGACAGTTTAATAGGTATGCAAAGAATTGACTGAAGTAACAATATCATACGAATATAATAGTATGATATATAATTGAAAAAAATAAAATAAAATAAAACTAAGAACCAACTAGAAATTGTAACAATTTTTGTACATATTTTCTTGTGAAAATCTTATATTAGATTAAACGGATACACAGGGAGATAGAGAGAGAAAGAGAGAAAACAAGAACCGAATTTATAAGGAAGCAATACAAAAATGACCATACCATCCAGTGATTCCAGGTATTCCATGGTGATCTAACTTCAATGGACTCATGAGTTAAACTATTGGAATTACTAAAATCTACGCAAATCCCCTTCTACTAATTATAACCATCTGCTCACTAATGACTGAGGTATTTCCTGGAGTACTAATGAGAAGGCCCCCAGATGCCCTGGTATGGCCGAGAGTATGGAGGGAGTGCCCTCCCTCTCGAAATGCTCTCACACGGCAACGTGCATACAGCCACTGACAAGGAAGTTCCACTCACCGCCTTCTCGTGGCATTACTGTTGTTTACGAAAATGAGAGGACGAAAAGCGAATGTCTGGCGCTTTAACTGGATCTCAAATCAATGGTGCACATGGGCTGACTCCAGTATCCTGAAGGAACAAATGGCGTATGAACTAATCGTTGGTCATCGGCTACCATGGGATTGAATCTCCTTACGATGTTCCACTGCCTTGTGGATCAGACCTTTAGGTCAAAGGCTCGGATTGTAGCCCCCTAAGAAAACCACCTGCTTCGGTTTGGGCACCCGGCAAGTATCACAGCCTACACACAAATAAAATGAAAATTTGTGTGGCGCATATGTATTTGGTGCCTTCTTGTACCTCTGTTTATGTGTTTAAATAATATATAATAATAATAATAATAATAATAATAATAAGTTCTCTCAATATCAATATTGAAAATGAATACAAAACAGCATAACTATAAACCATAATAATAATAATACCGTTATGTTAGTAACATCTATTTGTCTAAAAATCAATATATACTTTTTATTATCAAACAAAGCACACACTCAAATCATAGTTGACAATAAGAATAAACAAATGTATTTTGCCATTAAATTTTTTTGTTTTCAAATCAAAGTGAGACTATGTTACCATCATCAAATTTCAATTATGACAACAAAATTATATAAGTCCTTTTGAAACAATTTCAACATATCAGAAGAGGTTTTTTGGAGATTGTAGTCATTTCAATGGTTAAGATCATGAGTCAGTTGAAGCTAGACCATCATGGAAAACCTGAAAGCACTGGACGGCCGTTTCCTCCTATTATGGGACTCCTCAGCAGTGCGCATCTACGACCTCGCGCATGAGCACTTAACTAACTGGACCACTGAGCCGTCCAGCATCCAACTAATCTACGAAATTGAGTGACACATCCATCATTGTCTTCAGTGAGTTACTATCTCACAACAGACATGGTTGAATTCCACTGGTCAATCACTACTTCTCACTAGAACTCCAGGATATACCTCTTGAAGCCAGTCACTAGTGAGCATATGTTGATTATTATCAGAATGGGGTTTTGTGGATATTGTAGTAATTTCAATGGTTAACATCATGAGTCAGTTGAAGCTGAAACTGTAAACTAACATTCTGTTCTCTCTTCCCAATCCTATTCTATCCTGGAATGTATTGGAATCAATGTCAATGAGTTGTGACAAAGGGAAGAAGATAGACAAAAGACAAGTAATATATATATATATATATATATATATATATATATATATATATATATATACATTATTACAATAACTTACTTCGATCCTGTTTTCGTTTTTTACAATCAAAATCTAATCTTCGTCCTTCGAGTTTTTTACGATGATACTGTAAGGAAGAATTGACAGAGATAAATCTTAAAATCACATGTTTATATACAAAATATCAACATAAGAAAAACAATATGATGAAAAATATCATAAACGATTAGGTAATATCTATTTTTGTTTTAATTTCTTATTCTCTAAAACATTAAATCTTAACTGTTATACATTATTCCAATGACATACAAATCAAGCATAATGAAGTAAGAAGATTGTTTGATGTGATTGTAGAGGGAAACAACTCTGATGGATGTAAGTAATGGTGGTGTGGATCTACTGCCGGGAGAAAGATATCTCGATATTGAGTATGAGGATGATATTGTCTTACTGTGTGATAATGCCCAAACCATGCAATCCTCACTTAATCAGTTGGCAATCAGTGTCCGTAGGTATGGTATGTGCTTTGCACCTTCGAAGTGCAAAGTACTTCTACAAGACTGGCAGGATTCTAATCCTGTACTCACTCTAGATGATGAGCAGATAGAAGTAGTCGAGAAGTTCGTGTATCTAGGTAGCTGTATAAGTACTGGTGGTGGCGTGAGTGATGAGATCAATGCACGTATAGTGAAAGCCAGAGCGGCTTATGCCAATCTGGGCCACCTTTGGCGCCTTCGTGATGTTAGTCTAACTGTAAAAGGTTGGATCTACAACGCGTCGGTGAGAGCAGTTTTGCTCTATGCTTGTGAAACCTAGCCTCCCCGAGTTGAGGATGTTAGACGAATCTCTCTCTGTTTGATTATCGTTGTCTCCGAAAAATTGTTGACATCCAGTGGTAACACCGTGTTAGTAATGCAGAGGTTCGGCACCGTGTGTTCGGGCACAGAGACGATAATGCAATTGGTGTCACCATCTTGAAACATCGACTTCGGTGGCATGGACATGTTCTACGAATGTCGTCTCAGAGAATTTCTCGTCGTGCATTATTTTCAAAGCTCGGAATGATTAGAAAAACCGGAGAGGTGGTTAGTGTATGACATAGTGTTGTGGTATGAAAGAAAGATGCAAAGGGCTGGCTTCTATTGATCTTTCACGACTCCCTGGTTGGGGTCCTAGAGATAGTGCAGCACAGTAACTGGAGACGTTATCAGATTTAGCTCGAAATACAAGCCAATGGCTTCATAAAAAGTGGTTGTAAATTCCTTAACTGAAATTCTTTCTGGTTGTATCTTTCCATTTCCCCCATTATTATTACTATTACACTACCATAAACTAATCTGTGGTCGTTATTGTTCTTTTTTTTCTTATACGCACCTTACATTCTTTTTCTCTACCCATTCTCATTGTTTTATGTGGCGAATATATTATATCTGTTGCCCTCTTGTACCAATATTTATATGTTCATATAAATAAATAATAATTGTAGAGGGAAATTATCTGCTTGAATAATTCAAATAGCAATAAAACTAACTCCAATTCACCTAAACAGCATAAACTAACGTTTTATTACTGTACAATAGACTAATATCACACATCGCTGGTAGACTTTATTTAGTCAACCAGGGAGAGGGAACTGTTTCATCTTCATATAAGACGAACACAATAATTAAGTACTTAGGACCATGTCATAGATCGAATCTCAGCATTTTTTAAGGTATTGAATTAATACTATCCAATAATAATTAAGATCAATTCATGATCTAAACTATAAGTAGATAAATTATTTCAAATAAGAATGTCGCCAAACAATTCAATTTAATTTGTAAGTAAGTACATAGGTGCCCCCAAATGCCCTGGTATGGCCGAGAGTGGGGAGAGTTCGCTCACACTCTCCAAATGCTCTCACATGGCCACACCCATATAGCCTCTGTCAGGGAAGTCATACTCACTGCCTTCTCGCACCACGGGTGTTGTTTACGAAAATGAGAGGACGAAAAGCGAATGTCCGGCGCTATAACCGGATCCCAAATCAATGGTGCACATGGGCTAGCTCCAGTATCCTGCGGGAACAAATGGCGTATGAACCAATTGTTGGTCACCGGCTGGCTACCATGGGACTGCATCTCCTCACGATGCTCCACTGCCTTGTGGATCAGATCTTCAGGTCAAAGGCTCGGGGTGTGGCCCCCTAAGAAAACCACCTGCTTCGGTTTGGGCACCCGAGCAGTATCACAGCCCTCACACATATCAAATGAGATCTGTGTGGCGCATATGTATTTGGTGCCTTCTTGTACTGATATCTATGTGTTAAAATAAATAAATAAATAAGTACATAGGTATACAGATTGATATTACCTTTCTTTAAAATGATTTTCCGTCAATTGTGAAAACATGTATAAAACCATAATGAATCAGAATTAATGTTGATATGTAACACAATAGTATAACTAAACAATGACAATTAACACTATTTTATTCATTACCGTAGTGTACAGTGTGTAAAACAGATTGTTATCCATAATGTTAAGAATTATAAAGTGATAAATACGTTGATTAATAAATAAATCATTAGATATGTAAAGTTGTGTATAGTAATAATAATGATTATATATAAAGGTTTATCAAAGTAACCAAGTGTAGTTTATATGCAAAGATGGATAATGATTAGCAGTGGAATCTAGGATGTGAGTTTCGTCCTATTTGAGACTCATCAGTTGGATGTATTTGCATCTCAGAGTTGATGTTCACTCTGGGGTTCAAACTCAATACCATTCACTTCAAACGTTATCATGTTATCTACTTAGCTACTGAGTCCTAATAGCCACTTGCTTATATAATTTAAAGTGTAGCTTAGTATAGATAAGGTAGGCAAAATCCGACTCACACGTTCGCGTCGTGCCTCCTGGATGACGAATGAATCATGAACTAACGTGAGAGGTAACCCGGGTGGTGGAGATCGGGCTAATCACCCACTCTTATCGATGCCCACAAACCGATTACGAAACCCATGAAGAAACACAGCACAATTACATTTGGATTAGAAAACGACAAAAAAAATTTCAAAAGTGGTGCATGTAACATACGGAGTTGCTAGTCATAAGACAAACTCCAATCGTTTACAAAAACAGCTATTCTAGCCCCAGTAGTTGTGCCGTGCTTCGATGTGGCCTGTTTCTCTCCAGAAGGGCTTAACAGGTTTCACAAACTTGATTTTGCTTTTTATTTATTTATTTTAACACATAGATATTGGTAAAAGAACGCACCAAATACATATGCGCCACACAGATCTCATTTGATATGTGTGAGGGCTGTGATACTGACCGGGTGCCCAAATCGAACCAGGTGGTTTTCTTAGGGGGCCACACCCCGAGCCTTCGACCTGAACATCTGATCCACAAGGCAGTGGAACATCGTAAGGAGATGCAGTCCCATGGTAGCCAGCCGGTGACTAACGATTGGTTCATACGCCATTTGTTCCTTCAGGATACTGGAGCCAGCCCATGTGCACCATTGATTTGGAATCCAGTTAAAGCGCCAGACATTCGCTTTTCGTCCTCTCATTTTCGTAAACAACACCCCCGCCACGTGAAAGCAGTGAGTAGGATTTCCCTGGTAGAGGCTGTATACGCGTGGCCGTAAGAGAAGATTTCGAGAAGGAGGGAGGGCCCACCCCACTGTCGGCTATACCAGGGAATTTGGGGGCCAATGAAACATTCAAACTAATTAAATAGAGAAGTTCATAAACCTATCATTTAATAATTAATGAAACTCCTCAATTGTATAGTTAAATATTATAGTCAAGATGAAGCTGAAACAAAACCTTTGATAAAAATCTTTAATGAAAAATCCCTCATAATAATAATAGAATATAGATATACTTACATTGATCTCTTTCAATTCATGTGTTTGTACACTATGTAAAGGATCTAGAAAATTCTCCTTCACATGTTCTTCCATAGTATATTTAATATTTGCTAAACATTTAAATGTTTCACCAGCTTCTACAAGACATTGACCTAGAAAGAAAGTTATATACATGAATATAGTATAGATTAAAAAAAGAATAAACAAAAATGATGTACTAATGAAAATATTTAATGTTTAGTTCCGGTTGAAAACTAGTTAATACTTAAAGTTTAACTTGATCACCACACAGTGATCAATCAATTGTAATGACATCTCAGTCCTACAGGAGGTCGGTCAGCGGCCCAGATAGATTAGTAGTAACGTCTCTGAATGTGAAGCTGGGTGACACGGGATTGAATCCGTCAAGGAGCACCAGTTCCCTCAAAATTACAGGTATACCTTGCTGACGAATACCAAGTAGCATGAAACCCAGGTTGACAGGGTTTTCTGTTGACTACCTCCAACCACCATCTTATCTCAACAGTTGACCTTTGCTGATCATGTCTTTAAAAAGGTTGTATTCCTGAAAAGTTCTATATTAAGATGAAACAACTATTCGATGCTTCCTAATTTCAAACGGAACACCTATAGATGTTAGTTAGTGATGAAAACCATTTATACATGATATATTTCCTTGACAATACTGAAAATCAATCTGATGATTGGATGATATCCTTACAAAATCTACATAAAGATACACTGAACAATTGTGGACTGTTTAAAATTTTGATAACATAATCACTGTAAGGCGATGTTAAGTAAACCTTTCAATTATCTAAATGTAGTCAGTTTCAAAAGAATATAAAGTCGTCTGTCAGAGACTGTCAAATGATAACAACATTTGACTCATTAACTTCACAGTATACAAGTAGCCAGCCACTAAAATATAACAAACGGGCAAAAAAAGTACAGTGGACTTGACAAAAATGTGTATTTTCAGCTCGAATTGTTAAAGTACAAATCAAACCAAGAATAAGTCGAAAAGTAGAGAACCGAAAAACTGAAAATCCCGTCGATAGTAATACATAACACTAGAAAATTACAACAAATGAGATTCAAAATAAGATGAATGATGGATGCTCTTGCACAAGTGTAGTCGAGTTCGAAACAGATTACATTAGATAGACGTCATCAACAGAGCATCTAGCACATGGTGATCTCGCCCATACCACATTAGCACGACAAGACGAAAATAACAAAATGTATAGCAGAAGAGGTCACAGTAACGTAGTAGCAATGATAGAGACTAGGCTCTGGAAATATGGTTCCAAAAAACATAGTGAATCGACTGAATTCAGACATTAGCATCGTTGGATGCCCGTTCAGTGGTCTAGAGGTTAAGTTTTCGCGTGCGAGACCGAAGGTCCTGGGTTTGGGTCACGTGTGTGGGATCGTGGATGAGCACTGCTGAAAAGCCTCATACTAGAACAAAACGGCCATCCAGTGCTTACAGGTTTTCAATGGTGGTCTAGTTTAGATTAACTCATGAATTCAACAATGAAAAAGTATGTAAGAAAGAATATTGAAATTCATAACTGAAAATATAAAACATGAATGCATCGGCACTATTATGAAAGGTCCTGACCCATGTCTCTAACCACTGATCACTCTTACCATGTGGACCCAAACCACGTAGTCTGCATCTATTAAAATGGCTTAGTTCAACAGTTAATGACTTCATGGAGCGACGCCATATTTTGATTTGGCCACATCTATCTTTTTTACAACATACATCTACACCAACAACTATCACTCATCGAGATAACCAAGGATTGGGCATATGTCCTAACCAATTCAGCCAATGAAGATTAAAGACCACATTAACTGGTTTGCCACCTTGACCAAGTACCATAGACTAATGGTCTAACCTTAACATTACTCACATGATCGTCCCAAGAAACACGAGAAGTGTTTCCGAAATACCTATCATCAAAATTATTTATTTATTTATTTATTTGAACACATAAATATTGGTACAGAGGGGCACCAAATATATATGCGCCACACAAAACAATGATAATTTGAAGAGAAGGAGGAAAGAGAAAAAAAAAGTAATGAACGTGGGGAATTATAAAAAAAAGGGAGAGAGAGAGAACAATGGTGGGGGAAACGGAAAGGTACAATCAGAAGAGATCTTTCAGTTAAGGAAGATATAAACACTTTTTATGAAGAAAGTAAGAGGTTACAGCACGATCGCCACTGGCTTCTATTCTTAGCCATATCTGATAACGTCTCTAGCCACTGCGTTACACCGTCTCTCGGACCCCAACCAGGGAGTCGTGAAGGACCAACACAAGCTAGCCCTTTGCAGCTTTCTTTCATACCACGACACCATGTCATATACTGACCACCTCTCCGCTTTTTCCAACCAGTCCCAGAGTCGGCAAATAATGCACGACGTGGAATTCTCTGGGACGACATTCGTAGAACATGTCCAAGCCACCGAAGTCGGTGTTTCAAGATGGTGACACCAATTTCATTATCGTCTCTGTGACCGAACACTCGATGCTGAACCTCTGCATTACTGACATGGTGTTGCCACTGGATGCCAGCAATCCTTCGGAGACAACGATAATCAAACAGAGAGAGATTCGTCTAACATCCTCAACTCGGAGAGGCCAGGTTTCACAAGCATAGAGCAAAACTGCTCTCACCGACGCGTTGTAGATCCGACCTTTTACAGCCAGACTAACATCACGAAGGTGCCAAAGGTGGCCCAGATTGGCATAAGCCGCTCTGGCTTTCACTATACGAGCATTGATCTCATCACTCACACCACCACCAGCACTTATGCAGCTACCTAGATACACGAACTTCTCGACTACTTCAATCTGCTCACCATCCAGAGTGAGTACAGGATTAGAATCCTGCCAGTCTTGTAGAAGTACTTTGCACTTAGAAGGTGCAAAGCACATACCATACCTACGGACACTGATTGCCAACTGATTAAGTGAGGATTGCATGGTTTAGGCATTATCACACAGTAAGACAATATCATCCTCATCCTCAATATCGAGAAGTCTTTCTCCAGGGAAAAACGTCTAGTCTACACATATCTTCGACTTCCAGAAGAAAATGCTTCGCAGAAATCAAGTTATAGATTGGATTGCCCCACCGTATACATCCCGTTTGGTTGGTGGACGGACATCTTGACTACGCTACAGGTGACATAATTAGAAGTCAACCGTGCTCTCTAAATTCGTACGGAGAGTTTGCCAGACATCAACTCTCCAGGGTCGATGAGACTTCTGAAATAAGTGAAGTGGTCAACGAACTCAACTACTTCACTTCCTATCATTGGTTCTGAAGCAACACTATGCATTTAAAGAGAGACAAATGCACTGTTGCTCAAGGTGATTAACAAACTCTGCATCAAATAGGGTCATGTTATCTAGGCATTTTAAGTACACAAGTGAACATAATCACAAGGTTTTTGACCAAAGATTATAAATGTATTGCCAAAATTAGTCAAGTGGCTTGATGTTTACTTTCAATACATGTTATATTTGACATAAAAACTTGCAAAAATAGGGCTCAATAAAGTATCTGAGACAAAAACTTAGAATTAAACTTCATGAATCAACGGAATTATTTATTGTTATTATTTGAACACATAAATATTGGTAGAAGAGGACACTAAATATATATATATATATATATATATATATATATATGCGCCACACTTTTGTGTGTGGGCTGAGATACTGACCGGGTGCCCAAATCGAACCAGGTGGTTTTCTTAGGGGGCCACACTCCGAGCCTTCGACCTGAACATCTGATCCACAAGGCAGTGGAACATCGTAAGGAGATGCAGTCCCATGGTAGCCAGCCGGTGACTAACGATTGGTTCATACGCCATTTGTTCCTTCAGGATACTGGAGCCAGCCCATGTGCACCATTGATTTGGAATCCAGTTAAAGCGCCAGACATTCGCTTTTCATCATCCCATTTTCGTAAACAACACCCCCGCCACGAGAAGGCAGTGAGTAGGACATCCCTGGAAGAGGCTGTATACGCGAAATATGTTATTCTGATCATCCTTAAACATCTCTTAACCTATTCTAGACCAGTCAGCATAACATATCATATAAGCATCTAGTTACTGAAAATATTACAACGTTACTATATATCAATTACTATAACTGATCATTAAACAGTATATTAAGAATATAATTGCATTGAAACTGTTGAATCCTCATGAAAATGCTTATCGTTTTTATAGCGAATAAAGTATAAAACAGTTCTGACTAATATGACTAGGAATGTTAAACAGTCTTTTTTTTATAGTACTAATTCTAATCAATAATGACATATTATAGATAAAACTGGAATCGAATGACGAGTCAGAAGATAGTGAATACTATTTCAGCAACTATTCAACCAAGTAATGTTAGCTATGTTTGACAATAATTAAAGGAGATAGGTGTTCAGTATATATATATAAATGAAGATGGCACGATGAAATAAAAGACCTTTTTTAATTAAAAAATAAACTAATACAAAACTTCAACACAAAGACAATGAACAAATATTGATCAGATCAAGACTTATGTATGAAAAAGTTTGCCCCCAAATGCCCTGGTACGGCCGAGAGTGGGGAGAGTCCGCTCACACTCTCCAAATGCTCTCACATGGCCACACCCATATAGCCTCTGCCAGGGAAGTCATACTCACTGCCTTCTCGCACCACGGGTGTTGTTTACGAAAATGAGAGGACGAAAAGCGAATGTCTGGCGCTTTAACCGGACCCCAAACCAATGGTGCACATGGGCTGGCTCCAGTATCCTGAAGGATCAAATGGCGTATGAACCAATGGTTGGTCACCGGCTGGCTACCATGGGACTGCATCTCCTTACGATGCTCCACTGCCTTGTGGGTCAGACGTTCACATCGAAGGCTCGGGGTGTGGCCCCCTAAGAAAACCACCTGCTTCGGTTTGGGCACCCGGGCAGTATCACAGCCCTCACACAAATCAATTGAGATTTGTGTGGCGCATATGTATTTGGTGCCTCCCTGTACCTATATTTATGTGTTCAAATAAATAAATAATAAATGAAAAAGTTTATTAGAAAACTTATATCAATATAAAACATACCATAACATGAATCAGGACCTAAATCACGACCACATTTTATCATACATTCACCTAATTGATTTTCAGGTTGAGGATATGCTGCACATTTTGATTTTCCTTGTAATTTATTCAATGTATTCATTGTCATTAATTTAGCACGATAAGCTGGATTTGGTTGTAAATATTCTTGTGTTTGTGCGATAACATCTTCAAATAATTTAGAAATTGTATCAACTTTCTAAATGTTAAAATTAAGAATGAAGTATATATATATATGTATAGAATTAAAATTTACTTTTTCAATTTCAATATATTCATCATCTAGTTTTGTACCTTCAGCTCCTCCAATCTTCTCACTCATAAACTGGAAAAGAAATAAACATTGAAAATTAGATTTATCTTATTATAAACAATATCATAATGAAAAAATTGAAATATTTTCTATGAGAATAATCGAGTAAACATATCAAATAAAAGAACCTTCAGTGGTTAATGCACGAATAAGATAAGAATTAGAACGATAGATGTATTCTAAGTAAGGATCGGAGTTAGACAAGGTTGTCTAATCTCTCCCTTTCTCTTTCTTCTTTTTGATGGTTGATTGGATTATGAAGACATTGACATTTAAGAGAAAACACAACATACAATGGACAGCTTAGAACCAATTAGACGATTTGAACTTCACAGATGACCTAGCCCTACTATCCTATATATACGAATGAATGCAGATGAACACAGTCAGTGTAGCAGCAGTCTCTGCATTAGTAGGCCTCAACATACACAAGGGGAAAACCAAGGTCCTCAAATACAACACGGAGAACAACAATCCAATCACTCTTGATGGCGAAACTCTGGAAGATGTAGAATCCTTCATATACCTGGGAAGCATCATCGATGAACAAGGAGGTTCAGATGCAGACGTAAAGGTGAGGATTGACAAAGCAAGGGCAGCATTCCTTCAATTGAAAAACATATAGAAATCAAAACAACTGTCAACAAATATCAAAGTCAGAATCTTCAATACCAACGTCAAGAAAGTTCTACTGTACGGAGCTGAAACTTGGAGAACTAAAACAACCACCATCAAGAAGGTACAAGTATTTATCAGTAGCTGTCTACGCAAGATACTCAACATCTATTGGCCGGATACCATCAGTAACAGCCTACTGTGAGAGAGAACAAACCAGATTCCAGCTGAACAGGAAATTAGGAAAAGATGATGTAAATGGATAGGACATACATTTCGGAAATCATCAAACTGTATCACAAGACAAGTACTAACTTGGAATCCTGAAGGGAAGCACAAAAGAGGAAGGCCAAACAATACATTACATCGGGAAATAAAAGCAGATATGAAAAGGATGAATAACAACTGGAAATAGCTGAAAAGTATTGCCCAGGACAGGGTTGGATGGAGAATGCTGGTGAGCAGCCTATGCTCCTTCACGAGGAGTAACAGGCGTAAGTAAGTAAAACGATAAATCGGAATACATAGATGCACTGGAAGTATGCATTTACAATATTCTTAGACCCAACTAATACTCCAGTAAAAGATATTATATTTAATAATAACATTACAAAGATAAGTGGACGGATGGAAAATTTTCGTATCTTACAAAACATTAACTGAAATTTAATGATTCTTGCACTATTATAATGCAGATGACAAGAATTCAGTCATTAAGATTAGTCAATGTGGAGATTAGAGCACTAATAAATTAATTAAGACATGGTGAAGAATTGAAATGTATGTAAATAAAAAAAAGTTAGTGAATAGGAGTCGAATAACATGATGGCGATTGATAAAATAAGGTGATACAACTGTTATGATTCGACAGCGAACTCAACGCTTCCTTAGGCTGAACTCACTAAATTTATGGATCAGGATCGTACCTTGATTGTGTTTATCCTTGGCACTCATTTTGTTGTTATAGTAGTGATCCACTAAGTGCGATACTGAACCACACTTTGTGTAAGGGATAGTGATACCAATCAGAGTGGCCAAACTGGAATGAATGGAGTAAGGTACAAATGTGCGATCTACTAGTTGGAAACCGAGTCTCTCAACCACTAGGCCACTGCTTCACTCCATTCTGTTCTATCCTAATGATGATCTCACTCATATTTTACCATAGATGACGATTTCTAACTCACTGCCTTCTCGTGGCGGGGGTGTTGTTTACAAAAATGAGAGGACGAAAAGCGAATGTCCGGCGCTTTAACCGGATCCCAAATCAATGGTGCACATGGGCTCCAGTATCCTGAAGGATCAAATGGCGTATGAACCAATCGTTGGTCACCGGCTGGCTACCATGGGACTGCATCTGCTTACGATGCTCCACTGCCTTGTGGATCAGACCTTTAGGTCAAAGGCTCGGGGTGTGGCCCCCTAAGAAAACCACCTGCTTCGGTTTGGGCACCCGGACAGTATCACAGCCCTCACACAAATCAATTTAGATTTGTGTGCGCATATGTATTTGGTGCCTCCCTGTACCTATACTTTGTGTTAAAATAAATAAATAATAATAAATTTCTAACTCAAAAACATATTACAACTCTAAAAAAGTAACATGTCATTCACTGGTTCAACAATCAATGACTTCCAGTGTAGATGCCTTGTCCTGGTTCGGTTCCTTCTGATTTCTTTAAATCAACTTTTATACTAACATGCACAGCATATAAGGTGGTCTATAGGCATGAATAACAAATTTTAACCATTTCATTTAATGGAACTTTATACCAACAATAAACTTACAACCTTTATTCAGTACTATAAGCTTAACCTCATTACTTATTCAACTGATTCTCTATGCATTCTAATTTCCGCTTACTATGTCTAAATGGCGTTGCGATCGGGATCGACACGTATTTGGCTCAAGTTTTAGATTATTTATAAAATGTGACCATATAAGTTTGATAACAACCCGCTGAATAATAATAACTCATCAACCATGAAACTTAGTCTACAAAAGTGAGAACCATGCCTATATTTCGAAGGGTTTGAATATCATCTTACCTGAAGCGAGTTGAATTTAGTGAGCGACGAATCTGAGACCCAATAGCCTTTAACAAAGTTAACTCACTGTCTTACTCATCACATCTGTAATACTTTACGTGTCTAAAATTTGGAACGTCTTTCTTAGTTACTCGTAACTAAATGCTTTGTTACCAAAGATCTTAAAATAACGAGCTCATTGTTAAAGTCGTTTGGTGTAAATGCACTGCTGACTTTTCATCTATCCCAACAAACCAGAAGCTGGGTGTAACACGTGGAAAGTTTCCGGATTTTCAACGAGACATCAATTATTATTACCATGCAGTGCTAAAGTAATTACCATTTCTTTACAAAAACTGAACTTGTTAAATAGATCTTTATCTTGACAAATTATGGTAGTGACAAAACTATCAAGTTTATCAGACTTTTGATAGTTTGTAGGTTACAACTTATAATATATTTTGGATTCGAAAAGTTTCAAACGTCTTGTTGGTATGGGACATTATGGTAGAAACAAAACTACCTATATCACCCAAAATGTACTATCTCTGAGAGTAAGATTCTCGACTTTTTCAGATCATTTACGAATGTTTGCATCAAGACCAAAGACCAGAAAAACTGACAGCTGTAAGACCGAAACATTTATTAATAATACCCACTAAATATTATTTAATCACTGGAGATAGAAACAACATAAAATACTGTGTCTAGAATCCATATTAACCTAGTTTGGAGCACTTTATGGCTCTCTTTAAATCGGTCTTACTGGAAACCAATACAACAAAGTCAAAAGCCTTTTTGTAATACATTAGGTCGAACTGGCGGTATTCACGTTGTATCTACGTCGTTATATGTTGCCCATTACATATACTTTGATTCTTCGCACAAAACGTTAAGAATTAACATTAATGATAACCGATGTCGACAACTGGCTGAATAAAACCGTAGTCTATGTAGTGAATTTGTTTTCAGTGACTACAACATAGTTACATTTGCCACAAGTAAAAGAACAACATATGGAGTTTGTCAGTCAATCATCAACGTACAGCCTGATACAAATGCGCTTCTCACGTTGCCGTTTCACACTAGCATGACGACGTGGATAGCAAATGAAGTCAAAATAACGTAGCTACAATGATGATAAGAAATACCGAACATCGAGAATACGATATGCATGGTATCGATGTATGTATTGTTTATTTATTTAAACACAAATATTGGTACAAAGGGGCACCAAATACATATGCACCACACAAGTCACTTGATTTGTATGTGGGCTGTGATACAGCTCGGGTGCCCAGACAGAAGCAGGTGGTTTTTTTAGGGGGGTACAACCGGAACCTTCGACCTAAGAGTCTGATCCACAAGGCAGTGGAGCATCGTAAGGAGATGCAGTTTCATGGTAGCCGGTGACCAATAAGTGATTCATATGCCATATGTTCCCCTGGAATCCGGCAGCCCATGCGCACCATTGGTTTGGAATCAGGGTTTTCTAACTACCCAATATGAATCCTCCATATCCAACAACCCGGTCAAAGCGCCAGACATTCGCTTTTCATCCACTCAATTTCGTAAACAACACCCCCGCCACGAGAAGGCAGTGAGTAGGACTTCCCTGCCAGTGGCTGTATACGCGTGGCCATGTGAGAACATTTCGAGAGGAAGAGATGACTCTCCCCACTCTCAATCGTAGCAGGGCATTTAGGGACATCTTTGTACCTGAGTGACAAAATAATCTGACTGTATATGGAGTGACTAATAACGCTTAGTCTGATCTCTTACCACGTCGTAAAATATAAAGCGAACTCGTAAGAGCACTTCGTGCCATTAGTAATCTTTTAGGAGCTAACATATTGTCTTATGAGTCCTCCTACAATTCATCATATAGACAATCACGAAAAGGTACAAACAACACGATGGAATAAATTCCTTTCGATATCCCGTTTTTCAATTGATTAGTACCAACCCCATCAGTAAACAACTTCACAGAGGAACTGGACCTACTTGGTTTTAAATGGTAAATAGATTCGAAACGTACTGGGGTTATGGAATACTCTGTACGCAAAAATACCCTTAAATTTTAGCAGTGAAATGAACCAATCGGACCCAAGACCTCGAGTCTTTGAATTTGAGACAGAATTCGTTCATACGGCTAAATTACATCTTGGCATTGTAGCAGATGTCAGTGCGTGATGAAAACCCTCTAATTCCTGATACTAACTTATGAATTCAACTTCTAGTCTCGGTTACTCATACTAATTTATATCCTTTTTTCACCCATAATAAGTGATTTTTGTTTAAGGACACTTGTATCGCCCAAAGATTGTCCATAAACCACTATGACGAGACTACAATTTATGGACTAACCAATCAGACTTATTTATTATTATTTATTTATTTGAACACATAAATATTGGTACAGAGGGGCACCAAATATATATGCGCCACACAAAACAATGATAATTTGAAGAGAAGGAGAAAAGAGAAAAAAAAGTAATGAACGTGGGGAATTATAAAAAAAAAGGGAGAGAGAGAGAACAATGGTGGGGGAAACGGAAAGGTACAATCAGAAGAGATCTTTCAGTTAAGGAAGATATAAACACTTTTTATGAAGAAAGTAAGAGGTTACAGCACGATCGCCACTGGCTTCTATTCTTAGCCATATCTGATAACGTCTCTAGCCACTGCGTTACACCGTCTCTCGGACCCCAACCAGGGAGTCGTGAAGGACCAACAGAAGCTAGCCCTTTGCAGCTTTCTTTCATACCACGACACCATGTCATATACTGACCACCTCTCCGCTTTTTCCAACCAGTCCCAGAGTCGGCAAATAATGCACGACGTGGAATTCTCTGGGACCGACATTCGTAGAACATGTCCAAGCCACCGAAGTCGGTGTTTCAAGATGGTGACACCAATTTCATTATCGTCTCTGTGACCGAACACTCGATGTCGAACCTCTGCATTACTGACATGGTGTTGCCACTGGATGCCAGCAATCCTTCGGAGACAACGATGATCGAACACAGAGAGTCGTCTAACATCCTCAACTCGGAGAGGCCAGGTTTCACAAGCATAGAGCAAAACTGCTCTCACCGTCGCGTTGTAGATCCGACCTTTTACAGCCAGACTAACATCACGAAGGCGCCAAAGGTGGCCCAGATTGGCATAAGCCGCTCTGGCTTTCACTATAAGTGCATTGATCTCATCACTCACACCACCACCAGCACTTATGCAGCTACCTAGATACACGAACTTCTCGACTACTTCAATCTGCTCACCATCCAGAGTGAGTACAGGATTAGAATCCTGCCAGTCTTGTAGAAGTACGTTGCACTTCGAAGGTGCAAAGCACATACCATACCTACGGACATTGATTGCCAACTGATTAAGTGCGGATTGCATAGCTTGGGCATTCTCGCACAGTAAGACAATATCATCCGCATACTCAAGGTCGAGAAGTCTTTCTCCAGGCAACAGATCCACACCACCATTACTTACATCCGCCAGAGCTGTTTCCAGAATGTCATCGATGGCAAAGTTGAAGAGGAATGGTGAGATTGGGCAACCCTGCCTAACCCCACTGCTCGAATGGAACAGAGGAGAAAGGTGGTTGTATGCCCTCACTCTGCCTGAGGTGTTTGTGTATAGGGCTTTTAGGATGTTAATAAACTTCTCAGGCACACCCTTCACAATAGACAATCCCAGAGAACAGTTCTGTCCAACGAATCGAAGGCAGCCCTGATGTCAAGAAACACTACGATTGTTGGCCTTTGATAAGTATGGCGGTGTTCTAACACTTGGCGGAGGGTGAAGATATGATCAATACATCCTCGACCAGAACGAAACCCAGCCTGCTCCTCGCGAGTCAATCCTTCTCGGGTTCTGAACAACCTACGAAGTATGACGGAAGCCAATAGCTTGGACGCAATCGGAAGTAGACTTATCCCCCGATAGTTGTTACAGGAACAACGTGAACCCTTTTTAAAGATAGGGCCAACTATCGACTCATTCCATGACGTTGGTACACTCTCTAGTTCCCAGATCTTTGTAAACAACGTCGTCAGTCCCTTAGTCAAAAAGTCACCACCATCTTTAAAAAGAGCCGGAGGTAAGTCGTCTGGGCCCGGTGATTTGTAACGTTTCAAGAGTTGGAGTTCCTTGCGGACTTCCGCCTCATTTGGTGGATCAGTCGTCACCGGCCATGGAGGGCAGGACAGTCTGACCGATGTTGCCGGAGCAAGCAGGCCAGTCGAACTGCCCTTCAAAGAATTCTGCCCATCGTCCAAGACGTCGATGGATGTTAGTGATTGGCGTTCCGTCATCCTCGCAGATTGTTTCGCTCACACCAGACTTCTTGCTGCCAGTGGCTCGGATGAGTTGGAAGAGCTTCCGGTAATTACCAGATGCAGCTGCTGCTTCCAGCTCATTAGCACGCTCCGACCACCAGGCTTCTCGGTCCTTACGCAAGCTTTGCCCGATTTCACTACGTAACATCCTTCGTCTGTGGTCAAACTCACGGTCACCCGGAGTAGACCGACGGGCTTCAATCAGTTGTAAGGAACCAGAAGAAACCCAGTGCTTGTAAGCGGGACGTTTCGCAAACCCACAACAGACTTTACCCGCCATTTTCATGGCGTCATAAAGTTGTAACCAATGCTCATCTATACTTCTCGGTGGAATGGTAGCTAGCCTAGGAGCTAGCTCGGTTCGATACTTACTAGCAACAGAAGCTGCAACCAGCTGGCTAACATCAATCCTTTGGTGGCGGTCACTTCGTTGTCCACTGAAAAGTAAGGTAAAATTGTCGCAGACCACGGCATGATCAGGTTCCAGATAGGTTCTCCAAAATGAGCGGTAGTCTTGCACACAACCACGCCAGCGGTAGCTGATCGCGATGTGATCAATCTGAGTCCAGGCTTGAGATGCAGAAGGAGGATGCCAGGTGGCACATCGGTGATGACTGTGCCGAAAGTTAGTGCTAGTCAGAAACAGGTTGTGGTCTGTGCATAGCTGCAGTAGACAGTCCCCGTTATCTGTCCACGACCAACAAGTCCCCATTGGCCACCTAAACGATTCTCTTCTGTGCCTAGACGCCCGACCTGAGCATTCAAGTCTCCAGCTAGTACTACAATATCTGTCGAACGCACTTTCTGGAGAAGAACAGTTAGCTGATGGTAGAACTCGTCCTTGATTGCATCCGGGCTGCAATCTGTCGGGGCATAGGCTGAGATGACGAAAAGACATCGTTTCTCACGCCGATTTCTTCTCACTTTGATGGAACTTTCTAATCTAACAGCACATAACCGACTGTTAATGGGGATCCAGTCGACTAGTGCTGCCTCAGCTCTTGCGCTTAGTGCGACACCAACGCCAGCAAGACCAGACGAAGATGCCACAGGGTCCCCGGATAAACGCACATAAAACAAGCTTTTTGAAGTGACAGATGGAGAGCGAACTTGTAGTACTTCACCAGAGTCTTGAATACGGGTCTCGGATAGACAACACACATCAATATTAAGACTTTCCAAAGACATAGCCAGTCCTATCTGTTGTCCGACCTGCATAAGTGTGCGAACGTTGAAGGTAGCCAGTTTGAATGGTGCACGCGGTTTCAGAAAAACTGCTTCAGTACTCATGTTCGGTAGTAACATACAATTTTCAACCAGGCAGTGACTCGGGAACGTATAGATAAAGCTGAATTTTCACCATAGGTGAGCTGCTGTCTAGGTCGAAACGCATATATAAAGTAGGAATAAGAGAGGGTGAATAAATGACGTGGTAGAGTAATAATAATAATAATAATAATAATAACAGTACGAGTTATTTCAATGTTAATCAGATAGAAAGGAATATTTTCCATAAGCGAATTGTTCATCATAGTTTTAGTGAGTGGGCTGGGATACTGCCCGGGTGCCCATACCGAAGCAGGTGGTTTTCTTAGGGGGCCACACCCCGAGCCTTCGACCCGAACGTCTGACCCACAAGGCAGTGGAGCATCGTGAGGAGATGCAGTCCCATGGTAGCCGGTGACCAACGATTGGTTCATACGCCATTTGTTTATTCAGGATACTGGAGCCCATGTGCACCATAGAATTGGGATCCGGTTATAGCGCCGGACATTCGCTTTTCGTCCTCTCATTTTCGTAAACAACACCCCCGCCACGAGAAGGCAGTGAGTAGGACTTCCCTGGCAGAGGCTGTATACGCGTGGCCGTGTGAGAGTATTTCGAGAGGGAGGGCGAACCCTCCCCGCTCTCGGCCATACCAGGGCATTTGGGGGTAATCAGACTTAGGATAACAGGTCTCAAATTTTGGCGCGAAATGTCTATCCATTTGGCCAAATACCATTTTAGCATTTTAGCTTATGTCAGTTCGTGATGAAAACCCTCGTAAATAATAATCCTTATTCTTCATACTGCTTTATAACTTCATTTAGCCCTAGCATGTAGATGGACATTCATAAGATAACTTCGGCGTCCCCCAAAGGTCGTCCATAAATCATAGTCTCACCACAAAACCACACCAATGTCAACGGTTATGAGACCAACTAATCAAACTAAACAAGTCCATCAAAGTTTGTTAAGTATGTAGAATTTCCAAATACAACTTACGGGGAAGAAAACCACTAAGGATTTGGAATAAATCGTCATTAAATTGATTAACAGTGAATCCTGTTCATAGACTTTTAATACATTTTTTACTATTACTCCTGTTCGTTCGTAGTTACCTAGTTTGACTCCTAAACGACTATTTAAGGAATATACTGGGTCTTGATCGACAGGGCATTTATACAACTGGACTTCTTACTCTTGTTAGCGAAGAGAAGGAGAATCCTAAGTCTCGCTCCCCCCCCACCACTTAATTTGGGGTCAGAGGACCGAAGACCACCCCACGAACATATCAAAGCAATAGTTCAACAAGTAGTTTATTAGATTTTTACTGACCCTGCTTTTAAGTATTCTCACGATAATAATTCACCGAAACATTGGTTTAAATGGAGAACTGGTCAGCAAAAAGATAATGTAAACAGAATCAAGGATTAGCAATCACTAAACAACATATGGAAAGTGTGATATTCATGACATAAAACTCGCTGATTTCATTATATGGATGAAAATGTGCGTGAAACAGAGAACTTATTGTCTTGAGAGCAACTCACCTGATTAGCTTTGTTGATTTGCTTCTTGAGACCAGCGAGAGACATCTTTGCAGACCTCGAAGAAATACCATTCAAAACAACCGCGTTGGCAAACAGCAATGAAAAGTGAGGTGAAAAAAAGAACCTAATGTCCAATTACTCAGTTTGAAAAAAATACGGTGCTAAGTGGTCTGTGTTAGTTTTGGCACTAAAGATTTCTCGGTTGATCTAAATTTGTTTTGTTAACTTCGACAGATGGAGCGTAAATCACGTATTAAAGTAAATATTATCATTCGTTGATGATTCGATTTAAAAATTCAAATAGTTCAGATGATTCTGAACTGAATGGAAGAGTTATTATCCTAAGGTCCTTCCATATCCGGTGCCCTTTAATCACTGATGCCTCAATCTATGACCCAGGCATATTTAAAGATAACAAGAAAATACTAATAAGTTTTAGTGAAATGCTGTCTCAAGTTCTTATGAGTATGGCTAGTTTTCTCCCAAAAGAACTCTTGGGAATCCGCCTAAACTACCTCAAACACCAGCAAATTTCAGCATTCAACTACTCTTAATAAGTAAAACACGTGCCTAAAGTTCATTCTCCTGTGTTGTGTCTCTAATCTCAAAGTGTTACTCCTGAGTTTTGTGTTTAAATTGAGCCTAAATAGGTGTTCAAGAGGATTCCTAGTAGTATTTACGATGTCATCTCTGAGACACCTATGCTCTAATATGTAAATGTTCAGTAATTTGGAGCGCTCTTCATAAGATTTGAATTTAATTCCCCGAAGTGATTCTTTGGTTTGCTTTTGGATACGTTCCAATGTATTCTCATCCTTTTAGGGTGAGAGAGTGTAGCGGTAAATAAATCCCCAAGATAGATAGCTCTGTAAGTTTTCGACATTGGATACTGGCCACATTAGTTTTAATGGACTCACCTTGCTGAAGGTGCTCGGTCATGCATCCGCATCAGATCACGTGTGGGAACGCCGTGCTCAACACCTACTGCAATCGCTAGCCAGATTAGATCAGACAATCCTCGATATATTGATAGCTTATCAAAGATATCTTCGAGCCTCCTCGATTCTGTCATTGATTTCACTTGGTGGGTACGATTCATATTAGGTGTTACTGGTTAAAGCATTGTCAAACTCCGAATACCTGTGGCACCTTCAAGAGGAAGCACTAAGTTTCCATACTCAGAATAGGGTTTAATAAGGCTGACGAAAATAAGGTGAAAAGTTCTATCGTCAAACTGGTCAAGACTATAGGTTATAGAGTACCAGCACCCCTCGATCTTCAACTTAAGAAATCTCTAGATGGGAGTTACCTTAGTTGTGTAAGTAGTCTGCAATATGCGTCGGGTTAACTACTTTACACACTGAAACGTTGAAAGCAGGTCCGTTGTTGTCCATCTAACTTTGAAGTTGAGTTAAATATCCTGAAGTACCAGCTTTCATCTGGCTTGCAAACTTATCCCTAAAGTTTCATATCATCAGCGAAAAGTGATGAATCGGACAATAATTTCCGAGGATGTTCATTTATATAGATTAAGAAAATAAGAGATCCTAAGATTGAACCACGAAGGGACCCCACTTGTCACCAAAAGCTCAATGTCATTCACTGTGTATGTATCTGTACGTTGATTGCCAAAGTGCATCATAATGCATTTGAAAGCATTTACTGACAACTGCCAAGTCTAGATCCTTCAAGTAGTTTTTGTGGATTGCTATGAGGCTCTAAACTATCACCTTCAATTTTCTTGTTGCTCTCCTGTGTTCATCATCAACCGGCGAGCATTCATATAAATAATTGGTTTATCGTACACCAAAACATTTAGTCTAGAGCATGTCTCTCATGGATGCACTCATAATTGACTAATTACTGTCAGCTATCCGTCTGAAATATGTACGATCACTATTCTCTACGTACTAAAAATATTTTGATAACCATTCATACGTTTCGGTGGTTTTGTTAAATCCTATCACGAGTGAATAATGAGGTCTCTTCGCAACTAAACAAACCATATTAAATTTGACAGACAAACTGGAATACTAGTTAGAAGGCTTCCTCTCGATTGGTGATACTTTTGTTCCTTTAGTTAGCCTGCTATTGCAAATAGAATTGAAAATCGAATCATATGAACAGTGTACGGGTACAGACATCAACTGAATTTCCAATTTAAACTAAAAATAACATCAAAATCGACAGTGATATGATAGTGATCATGGTGTGGTCATTCATGTGTAAGTTATCCCTTTTATTCACAACGAGCATACTGTTCCAGCTCCAGCCTGAATGTGTTCTTTAGAAGCAATAAACGTCATATTGCTGGTTACAACACGGCGAGTCGGTGTAGAATACAATTTGACTTCCAAATGAGATCTTGTAGGTTAGACAGTCACATTATGACAAATTTATACTTTTAGGATCAGACCTATTATTACAGCAGTAATAATAACAAGGTAGATCGTAATTCTATGGATTTACCGATATCAAGCTTACTTAGCAGACCAAGGACATCAAGTTTTCTTAATGGGTACAGTGTCCAATATATGTGTGTGATTTACATGAATTTAGTGGGAGAGCATCTCAACGGCATTTATATTGCTAGGGTGAACTAAAAATGTCTGATCTTTACCATAGTGACGTAGCAATACTATCTCCCTATAATACTAGAAATGTTCGTCTGCTCTTAGTCTTTTTGCTAGTCGTATGAGGTAGATAACTGTCTCCATCCGACGCGGATTGGACTCCATTGCTAAAGACTTGTCACTAAAACTACAGGAAATCAATCTTGAAGCTAGTGAATAGCCCCGCATGTGCACTACCGAGGGTTCCCATGCTAGGACAAAACGATCTTCCAGCGTTTCCAGGTTATTAATGGTGGTCTACTTTATATGGACTCATGAATTCAACCAATGACACTGACAATAAACTGTATTCCATATGATCATCCGTTTGCTTTGATCGCAAAAACACCACCGACTAGAAACGATGTCAGTCTTTTATACACCTCTTAAGGATTTCCCCACTTCTGTTCTAATACTTTCTTGAGAATTTTGTATTCTCTCCGTTTATTATTAGCTTTAAAATCTTGCGTCTTGCCCCCATGTCACTCTCGAGTTGGTTCTATGAACAAGTGTTTGTTCATAACTTTTGAATGTTACTAAACTGTATACTATCCTACCTTTTGCCCATAATTCAGTAGTGTGATACATGTTACGTCCAAGTTTTTGCTCCTTCCCGTTACTGAAGTACGGTATATCAACCTATTTGTAATTTACGAACCCAAATTAACAACAGAACCAAAATCCAAATTAGGTACTTAAGTTTATTCGCAATTCACAAATAGTCGACCAAAATGTCGTTCTAAAAACAATAGTTATAACAACTACAAAACAAACCTTCAATTTTATAGGTTCCTGGAGCAAAAACTCCCACTTACCAAACCAAAGACAAACAGGAACCAAAATGTCCGAAATAATGAAATAAACAAACAAGTTCAGAAGTTAAGTAAAACAAATACATCCAAAAAACACAGTGAAATTAATGATATTTAATATAAAGGTTTTAATCAGCCAAATGTCTTCAGTTCTCCCGTAACACTCCCGACCAAAAGAACCTTGGTTCTTTTCACAGACAAAAATAGTTAACAACAATCCAAGTATGTGCATCACAAGCAATCAACAACAAACATTCAATATACCTACAATCTCGTGATCCCTAGGACACACACCTGTACGTCTAGGGATCCGAGTAGCTACCTACCATCTACCGCTTCAAGAAGACACAGTTTACGTATATCTTTCACTAGGATCCCCTTTCTCGTCCTCAGCTCTACCTGTCTCACTAGTCTATCCTTACTTGGTATCACTCTCTGTAGTAGACCTAAGGGCCACTTGTTTTTCTCCGAGAAGTCAGAACATATCATTACTAGGTCACCTCCCTCCGTATGTTCCTTTCTAGTTGTGTCCACTTGTGTCGACGCTGCAATAGCGAAACATATTCCTTAGACCAACATCTCCAAAATACTTGCACCAACACAAACAACTGTAACATCAACCATTTAACAAAATGCTCTATCCTCCATAGAAGGTCATATCGAATTAAATCTAAACAAGCTTAATTTAGCTCGTCAAATCTGAGCATACCCAATTGTAGAGACAGATCATCTCTGCCAGAATACATTATAATTAAATATCGCCTAAATCGGATCAACCATGCAACAGCCTTAAGTAATCTAGTCCAATCTGAATAATAATTAATAAGCATATCGACAATGGATCTCCAACCATTACATGCGTGGACATTGCCTTCTTTAATTCCAAGAGATGGGGTTCAGGATCTTGTACATCCGCATCAGTCCAACACTCATTTGGCTTCTTCAAAAAATGTGGTCCTTCCTCCAATACATTGACAACATCGATGTTGAACTTTACCCCTCTGGATGCAAAGTCTGCTATGTTTTTTTCAGAAGGTACGAATCTCTATTGGTCCACCTTAGTAAGACTGTGAATAGTCGAAATCCGGTTTGCTATGAATGTTTTAAACTGGCTTTCCTCATTTCTAATATAGTGTAAGACAATCATGGAATCCGTCCAAAATTTAACTTCTGCAAACTTAATATCTAACTCGGACTGCAGCTGGGACCCCATAGGTGCTGCTAACACTGCTACCGTAAGTTCAAAGCGCGGTATAGTTTGAACCTTCAAGAGGGTCACTCTTGCCTTAGTCGTAATAAGACGAGAACATATTTCAGTGTCATGGATGTAAGAGGGAACGTATGCCACTGCACCATATCCAGTTTCCGAGGTATCACAGAAAATATGAAGTTCCAGGAGCGAGCGATCTAATTGTGGAAACAATGCACAACGTGGAAAACTAACGTTCTCAACCCTCTGAAATTCACTTAAAATCTCTAACCAGCGTTTGCTTTCCTCACTTGGAATCTCTTCGTCCCATCCTAGTCTCAATTTACCTAAACGTTGAAGTAACTGTTTCATAGGAAGTCTAAACGGTGCTAACAATCCCAAGGGATCGTAAAGTGAGGCTACACTTGACAATATACCTCGCCTAGTGAAGGGGCGTTTCGGTATGCGAACTTTAAATTCAAACTCATCAACCATAGCATTCCAAAATAATCCCAATGTGCGTTCAGTAGGAAGTCTCTCAAAGTCAATTTCTCTTACGGCTTCTGCTCTCTCATCTGGATCAATTGATTCGAGAACCTGTAAACAGTTACTTATCCACTTGGTAAGTCTGAACCCACCTTTTCTGAGGAGTAAACCAAGGGCTTTTGCAAGCTCGATTGCATCCTGCACATTATCAATTGAGGCTAAATAGTCGTCGACATAGAAACTCTTATCTACGACTTCTTGAACATTTTTATTCAATTCTTTACCGAATATATCTACCGTTTTCCTAAGAGCAAAATTAGTGCAAAAGGGAGAGGACACGGCTCCAAACGGATGAACTGTTAAACAGTATTCCTTAGCCCTTTGTCTTACATCGCCGTCTTCCCACCACAATAGTCAAAGCGCTCCCCTATCATGTCTCGGGATCTTTACTTGAAGAAACATCTCCTCGATGTCAGCGGCTAATGCTACGTTACCTAATCTGAATCGTAGAAGTATACCAGTTGAACTATTTACAGTATTTGGTCCTCTCAAAAGCTGATCATTAAGAGAACAACCTTGATAGACAGCTGCACAATCAAAAACAATTCTCAATTTTCCAGACTTTTTAGGGTTGATAACAGGATGATGGGGAATATACCAACAAACATCATCACGGTCAAATTCCTCCTTACTGGCTTCAATGACGTAGCCCTTACGTAAATGCTTATTCATTACAACTTAATATTTCTCCAGAAGACTACTATCTTTCATAAACCTCTTTCTTAAACACTCTAGTCTGCATTCAGCTAGTTCCAAATTATTCGGTAGTCTTGGCTTATCACACTCCCACGGCAGACCAACTTGGAAATAGCCACTCTCCAGTCTAAAGGAACTATTAACTATTTCTAGAGCTCTTTTAACTTCGACAGAATGTCTAATACGAAACACATCTGCATCCTCGAACTCATGATTATATAATCTTTCTATATCTCGCAAAATATCATAAGTAGAACAATGATACCACTGAACGTGATGTAGAGACCTCGATACTCCTTTAGGACCTAAAATCATCCAACCGAGATGAGTGCGCACACCAAACGGATGCTTTCTGTCTCCCAGGAGTTGTTCAAGGACCCAATGTGCATCTGGAACATCACACCCAATCAATATTCCTACAAGATTACTTTGTAACCTCAGAAGGGTTATATCCTTTAGATGTTTCCGCCTTCTCAGCTGGAGTTCGGTTAAAGGTTCTGCATAATCGATCGGAAGTTTCTTAGTCGTATAAGCCTTACTGATCTGTATAGAAACCTGTTCATCTAATGAAAATACCTCTAAATTTACTTCCAGACATTCACAAGTAGAAGTTCCATTCACAGTCGTCACCTTTATCGAAGTCTCCTTACCTTTGATACCCGATCGATTAATTAACTCTTCACATACAATAGAGGTATCTGAACCACCATCTAGAAGGGCGTATGTTTCCAAACATCCTTTGGGGCCGCATAGTCTAACCGGAATGATACCCAAACAAACCTTTGAGGAGTTCCAATCCTTAGCAAAGTTCACCACATGCTTATCAACAGCATCAATATGTAATAATGAATTATGCCGAATCTTACAGTTATCAACGTCACACTTTATGTCCGAGTTACAGGACTTGGCTATGTGATCCTTCCTTAAACACAGGTAACATAGAACACGCCTTCTCACCTCCTGTCTCCTCTCTGTAACATTCATTTTCGATAAATTCATACAATCCAAAAAGCACGTTTAAGATAGATTTATAGAAACAACAGCTCATAACTCATCACCGAATTGTCCGGTCGAACAATTCCAAGAGCAGTTGTAAGGCTCATCTATGGTTTAGTGCAACCAAATGGATTGATTCCTTACCACTTGTCCTCCCTGAAACTCGCCCACTAGTTAAAAAGGATAGCTGCCGCACATCAACCGAGCTAGTTTATGGCACACATCTAATTCCACTAAGATGGCTAGTCAGTTCTGACGACAAAGCATTAATAAGTACTTCCAGGCGAACACATATCAGCTTAAGTTGGATGGTTATCAGTTAGTAGGTAATCTCTTAGCAACGGCAAAACGATATGGCTCAAGTATTTATTGACTTCTGTATTTTGTGCTGGAATTGTACTTTCTAATATCGCATACACGATGCTTAAAGGTTTGCAGTCTTAATAATTATGACCTCACGCTATAATTGTTCTTTCTCACGATAGGAATAAAAGCCTACTGAAACCAGTCTGTGGGATTTTGGTTTATACAGGATTAGGATTAATTATCAAAACCAAATTATTATTCGCCATTTACAACTCGACAAATATCTAACGACGTGCAAATACTCTTTGTTCATGTTGATTTATTGAGAGAGCCACTACAGCAACAGAATGAAGGACCTTGTCGAGTTATCAACCAGAAAGCTAAACGTTTGATCATCGACAAAGACATTAAGAAGACTGTTTTGATAAATCGACTAAGGCCTTCATTTTTAAATAACCAACACGGTAAAGAAAATATCACATTAAACAAGCAAACTCAAATGCATTTTACATCGAATTTTGAGAACAACACATTAACCAACAAATGCGCGTTTTCAACATGTCTCAGTAGATCAGTAAACAGATTCAAACTTAAATTTTTACCTCGTTAGGTAATAAAAATGAAATACAAAAAAATATTAATGAGTAAAAATTACACCTGGCCCATTCGAGTCGTTATGGGTAATTGGTTTCTTAAACGCAGTGATTATATCATTAGTCACATTCAGATTGCTTGGTGAACTCATCTTTTATCTATATCGTAATTGCGCGTATATATTTAAGAATGTTTGTCATTATTCAATGTCAGAACACCTTTTTATCTGAATATACCTATAGAGCTGATTGGTTTCGTATTATTATTGAGTACCGTTAGTATCTACACGTTTCTCGGCCATACAATTATATGCATATGTTGTAACTTAATGTAACATCACACAGCACCAATGCACATCTTATATTTCTAAATATGTGTATTTGCACAATGATTTTCTTATTTCTGTTTACGTTATTGGGGGTGTACTCTTCTTCCCACTTACTCTGGACACTCTGGAGGGAGCTCTGAGGAGATGGCTAACAAAGGCTTATTTTGTAAGTAATTGTTGTCCTTATTCACATCTTTCACAAACTCACCTAGCTTGCATAGTCATTTCTATGGACTACAAAATTATTGTCAGAAAGGGTGTATGGTGGCGCAACTTCGTAGATTGGTTGAAATTAGACATTAACACCGTTAGATGCCGGCCGGCTCAGTGGTCCGATGGTTAAGCGCGTGAGCGGGATCGTAGGTGCGCACTATTGAGGAGTCCCATATTGGGACGAAACGGCCGTCCAGTGCCTCCAGGTTTTCCATGGTGTTCTAGTTTCAATAGAATCATGATTTCAGCCAGTGAAGTTTACAAAATTATTGTCAAAATGCGAACTCGACTTTTCCGCTACCAGTTTGTTATCGGTGTACATGACGCACTGATTATGAATTATATCATGACAAAAATTTGTGCGAATTTTCGATAGTTTTAATACAAAAAGCAAGTTGCGTCAAAAGTGATAGTGCCTCAACAGAAGTACTACCACTATGTGGTCGAAGGTTTTTCCGATACAAAACGACGTCCTGCAGGGAGAAATTAGTATATACAACCATTAGTACCCGTGGATCAACAAAAATATCCCCAACAGAATGGGGTCGATGTATATCCACGAAGACTCAATCAACCAACAAGGCAGTCCCAAGAGACATTTAAGAAAAAATGGGCAACCGGTAAAATCTGCGGCCTTGAATTCAGCTTGTCGTTCTAATTATAAGTGTGAGTTGATCTTTTCAGGTAATCAGGGACAGACAGCAGAAAAATCTATGTGGTTTTTGGCTTCGATAGTATAAAGGTTTTTTCAAACGTTTTCTACAAATAATTACTGCGCTAATTGGCAGAACGATATGAATGTTATATACGTACATCCCTGATAAACATCAAACGGAGTGTGAGTTTTCCACGAAATTGTCTTGTGTTTGGTGTCATCTAAATTAGAATTTGACTGCGTCGCTCTAAATAGTGAGTATCGATAGTTGAACGATGTTGCATAAAAAATCAATCTGTAGAATAGCGTGTGACCATTTTCAATCATATTACTTACTTAATGGGTTACAATCGGCCCTCCAACAAAATTACTCGGCAGATCTGTTTGAAAAAAATGTTACACAACAGCAAACAATTTGGCGTCTACACTAATAAAGAAATAATTGTTTTGAGGTCTTCAGACGCCAACACTCAACTTAAATATGCGAACGCCAGCGAACCATGCTAGCCTAGACACAGTCAACCTATCACATTCGCTACAAATATGGGATACCCGCCTTTCTTCAAGTCGTTCAAGGTTGTAAAGAGAAAGTGCGGTCAGGTTTGAAAGTCAATCACTTTGGTAACAGGCAACTCGGTAAGATAGAAACGAGCTTTAATTTAAGAATTATTGGTCGATTGGTTGGTTGTATCGACACTTTTTTGAGTAGTTGCAGCCAGATGGAAGTTGACTATGTCGCGAGTTCATATTCGTCTCATCGGGGGAATAACTCTGACGGCAATTCCAGCTAATTGATCGAGTTTCTCGTTACAACTGACTTTTATTCTGAATCGTAACGGATTCTAAATTCCGTGCCAGTACATGTGGTTGTAATTATCAGGTTGTCTTATTCATGCTTCACCACTGTTTGTTATCTGTCACCTTCGTTACAAGTGCATTCTGTGTGCTTATTAAATCATTGCCTCATTTTTCTTCTTCGTCGTTCACTCTCCCTGGCACTTAAGTGCATTCAGAGTGAATTCGTATCGCCACAGCTAACTTTTATTCAGTCCCTCTTAGTTATTTCTTGTGCTTCACTTGTATTGATTTCCATTTTATTATTTTTCGAGTCACTGTACACCATCCTAGTTTAATAGTTCTTGTCGTCATCTCCATTATTATCTAATAAGAATAGATAGTTCACAGTTGCCGAAACGTAGTTAATCTTTCAAAGTCAAACAAAGTTCTTATCTTGTTCAGTGCGCCGAAAGCACCTTTGATAGACTGCAAATCGAATCATTTCAATTAAGGTTATATTTTAGGATCTTTAGATTGACCTTGAATGTATTCTACGTTTCGCGTACAAGGTGACCTAGGATAGCTATCATGAATTTTTGCACTCACATTTGTCGTCTAAAACATTTTAGATGTGTCAACCAATGTTGTAATTTTAGTTTAAGTAGGTCAAGAAAAAAATAACTTGATACTCCTTTTCTCCCAGTTGGGTCTAGTTCATAGGCCAGCAAAGGACAAAATCTGTGGCATACAAGTTTTCTCACAAAGTAACTAACTCCTAGGACCAACTACTGGAAGAAGTGGTGTTCAAACCATTGACTAGTTCATTTGAAAGAATAGACACTCACAGAACCCTTCTAGAACGGGACTAGTACGTGCGCTCGGCATTCTTTCAACATAAATAATTCAAGTCTTTGTGATCTATTTATGGACAGACGTGTTTACATAGTGTTCATGGGATCTTTGAAGTATCTGTGATTCATCACACAAGGTCACATCCATTTAGTGAACGAAATTATTGCGTTGGACTTTGTTAAAAGTCTGAAATATTTAAAAATACGGTGATTATATGGATATCTGTTAGTTTACGTCAGGCTGTCCAAGAGATTGAATGTGAAATCATTTAAACCTGTTATTTGTGGGCTTACACGTTAACCTTTAAACATGGTGTGCAGTCGTTTTATTTTTATTTAAACACATAAATATTAGTACAATGCGGCACTAAATATAAATGAGCCACACAAAATTTTATTTGTATACGGGCTGTGATACTGCCTGGGTGCCCAAACCGTAGCAGGTGGTTTTCTCAGATGGTCACACCCCAAGCCTTTGACTTAAAGGTCTGATCTACAAGGCAGTGAAGAGTCGTGAGGAGATGCAGTCTCATGGTAGCCAGCCGGTGACCAACGATTGGTTCCTACGCCATTCGTTCCTTCAGGATACTGAAGCCTGCCCATATGGACCATTAGTTTTGGATCTGGTTATAGCGCCAGACATTCGCTTTTCGTCCTCTCATTTTCGTAAACAACACCCCCACCACGAGAAGGTAGTGAGTAGGACTTCTCTGGTATTGGTTGTATACGCGTGGCCATGTGAGAGCATTTGGAGAGGGAGAGCGGACTCTCCCCACTCTCTGCCATACCAGTGCATTTTAGACGTACGAACTCCGCCTAACACTACAACAACCTTTATTTGAGGTCCTGGTGTAGATATATTCATGATGAGAACACTCTGAAACTATAATTTGTTATATAACAGGTGTCAAAAGATATATCCCCCAGTTCGCAACTACTTTTGCGGCATTTTTAAAACGGACAAATATCACTGGACATATCTTAGGCTCTCTTTTCATTCGGCTATCGTCGTGCACCATATATGTGAAGCCCTTCAGTGTCTCTCGACTAATTTTACTTGACCATAGTTTATTTTTATGGTCTCTGGATATGGTTTATAAATATGTATGGGTTGTTTGGTGTATAATTTCACGTAGGCAGTCATCCATGTAAATCAAGCAAAATCATTGACGCCGATCAAGTAGTCAACCGGAAATGCGTGACGTAAAACCTGTCACATATATACATTAGTTCAAGTTGCCACATCCTGTTAGCGCAGCAACATGAAATTGTCAGAAAAAATCCCAGAGTAGAATGTATAGGAATAGTATTAGTGGTAATAGAAAAGATTAAGCATTGAAGATACAATTTGAGAATTCATATTTATCAAAGGAATTGGTATTAAAAACTTTGTAGCTAGTGAGACTTTCCGAAAAATATTGGATAATCATCCACTATCAATCCAGAAGGTTGAGACGATAGGCAAAACACCATGAAGAACAGTTTAACTGCCCTCTAGTTGGCTACTTTTACTAAGGAGCCTGAATGGAATATCGACACAAACCTCTTAACTCTTAATGAAGTAGAGAAAACCATAGCTAATCTAAAACGAGGGAGTTTAATTCAATTTGATTATAGTCAAAATATGTTGCAAAATAGGTTTAATCTTATCAAAGGTACATTCGCAAAAGTTGAAAACCTTAAACTACTTTTAAAAAGAAATTAGCTACCTGTCTAGATGAATCACTCTGATTTCAACTACTTGATATTATTTGGAAAATAATCGAGCACTTGTTTGCGTCGGCGGTTCAGTGGTAAAAGGCTCACCTGCCACACGGGCAGTCGAGGTTCGACTGACACACACTGCTTGCCCCCAAATGTCCTGGTACAGCCGAGGGTGCAGAGAGTCCACTCTCTTGAAATGCTCTTACATGGTCACGCGTATACAGTCACTGCCAGGGAAGTCCTACTTACTTCCTTCTCGTGGCGGTGTTGTTTACGAAATTGAGAGGAACAAAAGTGAATGTACAGAGCTTTAACCGGGTTGGTGAAGAGGTAGGGTCCACCTAAAAGAGTTGGAAAATTCTGATTCCAAACCCATGGTGCACATGAGCTCCAGTATCCTGAAGGAACAAGTGGCGTATGAATCAATCGTTGGTCACCGTCTTCCATGGGACTACACCTTCTTACGATGCGCATATGTATTTGGTGCCTCCTTGTACTGTACCAATATCTATGTGTTAAAATAAATAAATAAAGGATGGCCGTTACGTCCTATTGTAGGACTCTTCCTCAGTGTACACCCACGATCCTGTTCGCGGAATTCAAACCACAGGGTCTTCAGTTCTACACGCGAACTCATAACCACTAAACTAGCATTCACTAGTGTTAGTGTCTAATATCAATCAGTTTTCTTTTTTTCCCAACTCATCATTTATCATTTCTTTATTTCTTTATTTTTCTTTTTTTTATTTATTAAGGAATTATGAAAAAGAAAAGATCCGTTGCTACGGAATTAGTTCAACGTGCTTCATCTATATTACCAGCATTTACTGATATATTTGATGAAGAAACATTTTATATATTTTTTACTTGTCTTGTTATATTATCATTTATAATAGCATTTAGTATAGCTTGGTATTTTGATGTAACAATTAAAGATGCAGATAATTTAAATGTATCTAAACGACAAAAATTTAAACGACACTATTCAACTAATCAACAAAAATAATAAAAGAAGAAAAAGAGAAAAGCAAAGAAAGAAACAAAAGAAATTTATTGATTTGTTTTCTCTAAAATTATATATATATTCTTTTTTTGTTTATTTTATCATTATTACTTTAGAAACACCCCTTCCCCTTCCTCCCCCCTCGCAGCTGATAGTCAATGATGTACTTTTCTTTAATCAAATATACAAGGTATTCTGTTTGTTTGTTTGGTTGGTTGGTTGCTTGTTTGTTTGTTTATTTTTGTTTTCATAAAAGTGTATTGTATATTTATTCTAGTCTATTTGAAACTCTTTTATTGAATAATCCTCTTTTCATATTTGTGCAATATAGATAGGTATATTCATTGTGAATTCATTTACTTTATTCTTAATGGCAATGAACTTATATTTACTTTAAGTTTACTGTGATATAATTAATATTAAATTGATTTGATCCTATTATTCAAAGATTTATTATTATTTATTTATTTGAACACATAAATATTGATACAAGTGGGGGGTACCAAATATATCTGCTCTATACAAATTTCCATTTTATTTGTGTGTGGGCTGTGATACTGCCCGGGTGCCCAAACCGAAGCAGGTGGTTTTCTCAGGGAGCCACACTCCGAGCCTTCGACCTAGAGGTCTAACCCACAAGGCAATGGAGCATCGTAAGGAGATGCAGTCTCATAGTAGCCGGTGACCAACGATTGGTTCATACGCCATTTGTTCCCTCAGAATACTGGAGCCAGCCCATGTGCACCATTGATTTGGGATCCGGTTAAAGCGCCAGACATTCGCTTTACGTCCTCTCATTTTCGTAAACAACAGTAGTGCCACGAAAAGGAAGTGAGTAGGACTTCTCTGGCAGAGGTTGTATACGCGTGGCCGTGTGAGAGCATTTTGCTTCTCGGCTCTCTGAGCTAAGATCATGTGTAGTATCTGTTTTTTGCAGTGTAATTTCTGCAACAGTTTCTAAACTGAGACCAATGAAATTACCTGTATTTTTCACCTCCGGATGGGTGCTGTGAGCTTGCTCAACCCCGTCCACGGTTCGGTCTCGTATTGCATTGCATTATTCAAGGATGATCAGAATTGAATATTTGTTCATTTACATAAATCATTATATATATAGTTCCTTTTATTATTTTAAAGAGAACAAGGCCAAAGATTGGTACAGAATAAGAAATGGATTCATTTTATTTCGTTAGAATCTCATTAGCTCCATACAATCTAAAATCGTTATTACAAATATTGATATACTTATACATAAGAGGGTGATGAATGGATGAATCTATATATGTGTATGATGATGTAGTGAAGATTCCGATAGAGTTAATGAGGTCACAAAGTTTAGGAGGGAAAGTTCCAGAACATTTGAAATAATGATTAGAATTCATGGAAATAGATTAATGATAATAAAGAAAGATATGAATTGTAATCAGTCAGTTATGTATGATGTAATTTAAACTTCAGAAAGAGTAGGAATAATGACACAATAAGTAAATAGATGAATATAAAAGGGGGGTATTGTTACCAGGGTAATGAAAGATTTATAACTGTCTCTTTTTGTATACATAGGTCTGGTTTTAGATGTTTGATTGCTACATGAATAAGAAATTAGTATCTGTTGTGACTTTATGTGTCACCTTTTATCACGTCATCTATTCACCAGCTAAAATATGACTTATTCGCTCTTATACTGTATTAAAACCAATGTCCGACCGGTCTGATCAGTTTAACGACCTATTGGTCCGTTGCTTACCTAGCCCGTCCAGAATACCAACAACAACCTCCACTATGCGAATCCTTTATTTCAGACATACTGGGTTTATATATCAACCAAACAGACCGCAACGCACCATAAAATCGGAAATAACATTCATACACACCATAAAGCCAAAAGGTGGCTGTGAACGCGGGAGACAGTAGTTAATAAACTGAATATAGCTTAAGAACAGTAAGTTGTACAATAATAATCTATGGGTCAAAATGAAGCTTATAACAAGGGGAATATAGATATACATAATTTAATTACTGAATAGTTATACCATAAGAATATATATATAATATTAGCCCATTAATACGTCTCAGACGTTACTCGTAATGTAATCTTCGCCAGGATATAACAGTATCATTGTTTGTTTTTTTGTAATATTAAAAGAAATACATATCCTTATGCTCTAGTTTTCAATCGTATATATTATTTTATTATATTTATTCTGTATATAAAGATGTGCCCCCAAATGCTCTCACATGGCCACACCCATATAGCCTCTGCCACGGAAGTCATACTCACTGCCTTCTCGCACCACGGGTGTTGTTTACGAAAATGAGAGGACGAAAAGCGAATGTCCGGCGCTATAACCGGATCCCAAATCAATGGTGCACATGGGCTAGCTCCAGTATCCTGCGGGAACGAATGGCGTATGAACCAATCGTTGGTCACCGGCTGGCTACCATGGGACTGCATCTCCTCACGATGCTCCACTGCCTTGTGGGTTAGACGTTCAGGTCGAAGGCTCGAAGTGTGCCCCCCTAAGAGAGCCACCTGCTTCGGTTTGGGCACCCGAACAGTATCACAGCCCTCACACAAATCAATTGAGATCTGTGTGGCGCATATGTATTTGGTGCCTCCTTGTACCAAGATTTATGTGTTAAAAATAAATAAATATAAAGATGTTATTGTAGCAGAAGGAAATGCTCATTATGTTAGTTAGTGGTGTTATCTTCTAGTATCGGTTTGATTAGGGAAGGGCCACCAGATATATATGTGCCACACAACAATGAGAATAGGGAGAGAAAGAATATAAGGTGCGTATAAAAAGAAAAATAACGGCCGCAAATTAGTGTATGGTAGTGAAATAATAATGGGGGAAACAGAAAGGTACTATCAGAAAGAATTCTTTCAGTTAAATAAGTTACGGCCACTTTTTACGGAGAAAGTAAAAGAATGTTACAGTAGGATCGCTGCTGGCTTCTATTCTAAGCCATATCTGATAACGTCTCTAGTCACTGTGTAGCACCATCTCTAGGAGCCCAACCAGTGAGTCGTGAAGGATCAACATATGCTAGTCTTGTACGGCTTTCTTTCATACCACGACACCATGTCATATACTGACCACCTCTCCACTTTTTCTAACCAGTCCCAGCGTTGGCGAATAATGCACGACGTGGAATTCTCTGGGACGACATTCGTAGAACATGTTCAAGCCACCAACGTCTATGTTTCAAGATAGTGCCACCAATCGGATTATCGTCTCTGCGTTCGAACACATGATGCCGAACCTCTGCATTACTAACATGGTGTTGCCACCGGATATCAGCAATCCTTCGGAGAATGATGATCAAACAAAGAGTGGGTCGTCTAACGTCCTCAACTCGGAGAGGCCAGGCTTCACAAGCATTGAGCAAAACTGCTCTCACCGATGCGTTGTAGATTCGACCTTTTGCAGCCAGATTAACATCTCGAAAGCGCCATAGATAGCACCTCATGCTAGTTATCTAGTTCTCACTTGTGATGGGTTTTTGTTTTTGCATTATGACTTAGCTACTCTTATTGCTTAATATTCATGAACACTATTTCACTCGACATGTCCTCAGATAATAAAACAGCTGAATAGGAATGTAATTATATTCCAAATAACAACGTTGGATAGAAGTAGAAATTACAATAAGGATAAACATTAGTATATTTATAATCTATATCTCGCTTTCCAAATTTATTTCGCTGGATTATACTCCTTGAATAACATCTTCAAACCTTAATGTTACCAATTACTGTTTATAATTTTACTACCTCTACCACTATGGGATTTGAATTGACAATTGTATCTCTGTGCTAATGTGGTACGGCAACTTGATGTACTGATGTACATACGTACGAAGTTCTACGTTGTTACTAACTGATCTCGCTAACATCACTATTGACTTTAATTATAAGAACGTATATATAATTCAAGTGGATATCATCTTGGCTTATTTAATTTAAAGAGTTGTCTTATATAAGAGAATTGAAATTGTTCGTTTACAGAATACTTGTTATATACTATCTTATGTTGAGTGAGAAGTATTGATGTATTTAAAATTATAGAATCCTGTCAGTTGGTATCTATTTCAAAGGGTACCAATCGAAAAGGTTTACATTAATAAAAGAGAATTGAGAAAAAGAATAACCCTCTATCCATTTATATATATATGACCTATTAGAAATGTAGCTTTCTAAACTCTTAACAAAGAATCTAGCTGTTGAGGATGTTAGATCGCCAGAACTTACTTGGTAACTATTTAATTTTTGTAATTTTATTTTGAAAATTTGAATTTTTTGTTTTCGCACCAAAAGTGCTCATTTTCACCTTCATGTGGTATTTCCCACTTTAGAGAATCTTAAATGCCATTGGTTTGTTGTATCTTTTAGTACGCTATTTTCTAATGCATCCAAAGGACAAGTTTATGCTGTATATATACGTTTGATTTGTGCCTGTTGTGATCGCTTGTGCTTCTGGTTGCTTATGGAATATATTTTCCTGTTTTAAATTTGGACTTCTCTCTCTAGTTAACGTGGTTGAGACGCATCAAAATACGTAGATGATTGATCTTTAGTCACAAAGTCTTATTCTGTTTGCAGACTAGATGAACTCGTAATTGCTTCAAACGTAGCATTATCCTTAACAAACATTATTTCTTTTTTTATTTATGTAAAAACAAATATTATTAATGCAGTTGTTAGGAAACGGGTACTAGGTAAGAATGGCAAATTAATTGATGAAGTAGTGAAACTTAATCATTTGAGATGGCTGGGGCATGTGTTACGTATGCCTGACCACGGACTGCCCCGACGCGCGATGTTTTATGGTGTAGGAGTAGGTTGGAAGAAAGCTAGTGGCGGCCAGATCAAAATATGGCACAAATCCATGAAGTCACTGACAAGTGGACTGAGCCATGTTGGTAGGTGTAGACTACTTGGTTGGGGCCGCGAGATGATAGCAACCGATGGTTAGAGACCTTGAATGACATGGCTC